GTTTACACCCATAGGTTAGATTATTACAACAGTCAATGTTCGTTTAGATGCTTCTGCTTCTTTTCATTTGTCTTTATAGTAGGAGAAATGTCACTTAGATGAATCAACAGCCATGTCTTGGAAACAAATGATAAAAAGGCCCAAGAGTTCAGTATTTCACCACAGTGGGGGATTGATTGTTCTACATCTATGTCACGCCCTCCAAGGCTCAAGGAGTCTTGTGGAAGAGGCAGGCAGAAAGACAAATGCAGTGAGCTTCAAGTATGTTGTTTAGTGCCCTGGGGAAACACAGTCACATTAATAATTATATAATGACAAACAACTGGAGAGCTGGAGAGGCAGCTCAGTAGTTAAGAGCACTGGCTGCTCTTGTAGAAGACCTGACTTAGAATCCCAGCACCCACATGGCAGCTAACAACAGTCCGTAATGCCAGCTCCAGGAGAATCCAATGCCCTCTTCTGACTCTGCAAGCCATTTGCACAACTCGGGAGCACTTATAAACATGCAGGCAGGCAATATACTCATACACATAAAATTAAAAATATACATATTTTTTTTTTTGGTCTTTTTGAGACAGGGTCTCCCTGTAGCCCCAGCTGTCCTGGAACTATGTGGACCAGGCTGGCCTTGAACTCACAAAGATCCGCCTGCCTCCACCTCCCAAGTGCTGGGATTAAAGGCGTGTGCCACCACACCTGGCTCAAAATATCTTTTATTTTATGTGTATGAATGTTATGCCTCCACGTGTGTAAGCACACCCATGACGTGCAGTGTTCACAGAGGACAAAAGTGGGTGTTGGACACCTGGAACTAGAGTAAAAGATGGTTAGCCATCATATGGATGCTGGGATTGTAACCCAAGTCTGCAAAAAGACAACTGGCCAACAATACAGTCATAAGTTAAATATATTCATGTGAAATTTTGAGCATTTTGCACTTATTTGTATTAGGATTTCAAAATACTGAAATCTATAAAATTTTCCTTCCAATTGAGTTCTAACTTTACATTATTATTAAAATTTAAAAACTTGAGCCTGTGAGGTTTAATGAGGAAAGGCACTTGTCACTAGGCCTGACAACCTGAGTTCAATTCCTAAGACTCACATGGTGGAAGAAAACTAACTCTAGGAAGTTGTCCTCCGACTACCACTGTCTCACACACACAGACACACACACACCACAAAATTAAAATGTAATTTAAAATAAAAAACAAATTTTTCTGCTACAGCCTGAGAGGGCCTACACCTTCCATCGGTGTAGGGGCTGAGATCTCAGCAGACCAGAGTGCCTGTTCTGGCATACAGGCTGAGAACTCAGATGTTCATGAAGATTTAAGTCCACTGCACTTGCTTACAAATCTTCTCACCCTATAAGTGTATCAATGTCCTTGTTGTTAAAACTTCTTTCCAAGGGAAGAAATGTAAACAGAATCCACCTGTCCCCGCAAGGTCCCAATGACAAACAGGTACAATTCCACCAAAGCACACTCTGGGAAACCAATGAGTTTACTGGGCTTACTTTGAGAGCAATAGCTAAGGGGTTCTTACAGGACTGTGTGTCCTCCCCCACCCCCAAAGGCTTCACCAGTCTTCTCCCAAGCATTGAAGATGGCATTCCCATAACTGCATAAATGAAGGCCCCCTCCCAGACTTCTGCAGTCTGTATATATATCAGTCCCACAGGCCACATGCAGTTAGGGCTGAATTGCCCACCACAGATTGGTAGGGATGAATAGATACTCAGAAAGGTCCTATGACTGTATCTGCCTCTCCTCCGGGAGGGTGAGCAATCCATAAACAGCCAATAATCTCAGCTATGATATTTGGCAAGCGGCCACTGATGAGCTCAGGAAGAGGGCATCTGTCTCAGTCCAGAGAACTGTACAACAGTCCCTTTGGAGATTCTGACTGAATAAGGCCTTAATACTGCCAATATTTTTGCCTGTTCTGAATGAAAGGTCGTTATTTTTTTTTTTTTTAAGGTTAGCTTACATGTGTCACTAACTTTGTTCTCAATCATTCCCCTTCCCCCACCCATGCCTTTTTTATTGTGAGTAATTCAGGAATGATTTGGAAAGAGCTCAGTTTTGGAAAGTAAATTTTCTCAACCACAACTTTTCCTCTATGGTTTTAATAACTAATTCTTTGATCAAGGTAGAAAGCTTTATATGACAATTGTCTCAAATAAAAATGAAATACATCCAGAGTTAGTTTTGTAAAGTTTATTGTCTCAAATAAAAATGAAATACATCCAGAGTTAGTTTTGTAAAGTTTATGCCCATTAAACCTTGGAATATAAGAACAGAGTGCATAAATGACATTTTCAGTTGTAATGTCTTGAGCTGTAATCACTTCCTTTTCCAGAATCTGTAGCTATTTCAACACTGTAGGAGAAATTGCTAATATTTAATTAAGGCCAGCAAATACACAGAAGCATATGTTCTTTCTGAAACAAGGATTTGCTATCTTGTCCAGGAAGGCCTTGAACTTGCAGCCCTCCTGCATCATCATGCTAAATGCTTAGATTACAGTGCGCTCTCACACACAGTGCATTTTTCCTGTTGCCCCAAACTATTAACATGGCTAGGACTGCACTGGACTGCTAAAACCTTACTAAGCCGGGAAGGTGGAGGCAGGCAGATCTATGTGCGTTCCAGGCCAGCCTGGTCTACAAAGAATTCCAGGCCAGGCAAGGCTACATAGTGAGACTCTGTCCCAAAAAAACAAACAGAAAAATCAAAACAAAACAAAACAAATAAAAAATCTTGCTGACTAAACAGTCCTGACATTTACTGGGTTTTGTTTTGTTTCTTTTTTCCATACTGTACCTGACTTTCCTCTTTGGAAGTGTTAGGATTCTCCCTATAGACAATCTTGGAATCGTATAAATACTACATCATGACATGACATTTACCCATCAAACCACTGAATAACATTTCCTCAAATACTATCTTTTCTCATACCCCAAATCATTTGTGAAACGGAGTGCTTACAAGGAGCTGAGAGGTAAACTCACTGTGAAAGCATGAGGCCCTGAGTTTGACGCCCAAGATCCACATAAATGGCACTGGGGATGGAGACAGAGATACCTGCATAACAGTGTTCATTTAAAATATTCACAATTACCAACTTTTTAAAACATTTAAAAAAGCGGCCTAGAACCTGCTAGGCAGAGCAGGCTGGCCTCAAAGTTACAGAAATGCCTCTGCCCTCCCAAGAGCTGCCATTAAAGACATGTGCTTCAACACCTGGATTCAATAATCAACTTTTTGAATCAGGATAGGTGCCCATCTACAAATGCATGCTTAAGAAAATGTGAATATATACACAATTATGTTTCATTCCATCATGAAAAACAATGAAATTATTTGCCAGAAAACAGAACTGGAGATCAGGATGTGAACTAAGTTCACCTCACAAATACAAGTATATTTCTCATATGTGGAATCTAGGAAAATGAGAAGTAAAAGGGAGATTTTAAGAATTTGGAAAGAAACAGTATATAGGAAACAGTGAATATTATATGTACATATGGAAATGTAAAGTGAAGGGACGAAACCCCTGACAAGCAGACAGTCACTGGTAACAAAGATGGCAAATTTGCTTTTATTCCACATGGAACAAAGCCTTGAACTTTTTTTCTCCCACTGGCAGGGCCCCTCCCTCTTCCAGCTGACTAGTTCAGACCAAATTAGCCAAGGACAGTCCTAGACATAGCTCAGCTTGGACTCATGGTCTATTTGTTATCTCATCTTTAAGCTAATCAATCCAAAATTAGGAGAGGGTGACCTCCGTGCCACCAAGAATGCTTTGAAGAGCCAGGCCCCCTAAGGGGTTTTGTATGTTCCAATTTCCAAATTCCCTTTCCACTTGTGTTTCCACAGTCTTCTCTCTGTGTGAATGTATGTGTTTAATAAAGTTCATTACCTCTTATGTCTGAGAATTTTACTGTCTTTTAATTCTTTAATTGGCAGAGAAAATAAAACTGATCAGGACCCTTAGACAGTAACAAAACCACAATCTATTACCATGTACAATTAATATACACTAATAAAAATTCCAGTTAAAATAAAACTGAAAAGAGGGACACTTATAAATGTAACAAAGTATATGCACAATTTCTTCAGAAATCTGGAGCTGGAGAGATGGCTCAGCAGTTAAGAGCACTGGCTGCTCTTGCAGAGAACCTGGGTTAGATTCACAGCGCCCACATGGTGGCTAACCACCATCCACAACTGCAGTTCCAGGGAATCCAACAACCTTTTTTGGCCTCTGCAGACACTGCACAATACCAGTGCACTTACATACAGGCAAAACATTCATACACATAATATAAAAATCAATCAAAAAATTAATCAGCAATCTGTGGAAATATAGAAAATCCAAATGAATGAACATATAGTATTTTTCTTGAACTATAAATATTTTTAGCAGTATTGAGGATGGATCACAGAGCCATACATATGGTAGACAAGAACTTTTGACTAGCTATATACCCAATAGTTACCCACTTTTTGAGACAGGACTACACTAATTTGCCCAAGCATGTTTTCAACTTGTGATCCTTACACCTCAAAAACCCAAGTAGCAATGATTTGATGAATCCACTACAAATTTTAGCAGAGACCTTCTTTAAAGACAACTAAGTGATATACAACACACTCATAATTTGAATATATTTATTCATATAAAATTTTTGGCATTTTGTATTAATTTGTATCAGGATTTCAATATCAAATATACAAATTTCCTTTCTATAGGAGTTCTGAAGTCACTTATATTGTACTTAAAAAAAAACCACCAACAACAACAACAACAAAAAAAACCATTTATTTTCCAAATGGCTAGAGTTTCAATGCAGTATCCATTTCTTTTTTTAAGTTTTATTTATTTTACGTGTATGAGTATTTTGCCTGCATGTAAGTGCTATGTTATGCACTACACACAGAGGCCAGAAAAGGGTATCAGAGTCCCTGGAACTGGAGTTACACACAGACGATTGTTAGCTGCCTTGTGGGTGCTGGGAATTGAACCCAGGTTCTTTGCAGGAGCAGCCAGTGCTCTTGACTGCTGAGTCATCTCTCTAGTCCCATAGTGTTCATTTCTTGTAAGGTCTGTCTCCATTATCAGTTTTCTTGTGTCTTTGATTAGATGAGAAACAAATGAATATTTCATACATATGAATTTATTCCCATATTTCATTCATCCAAAGTGTTTTCCTCTGGAATGAGTCATTATATATCTTCAAATAATAATGAAGATCTTAACATATTTCTTACATACATCAGACTTTTGTACAGTGTGTGTCATTCCATGATCTGAACAAATTATAAACACTGAAGGTCTCACCATTTTCACTTCATTAAATATTCCACCTATAAGGTTTTCGATGCATTTGAAGGGAAATTCAAAGGCTGAAAGTTACTGCACATTGTACACACCAATAGTTTATCTTGTACCATGAGATTTCATGTCTTAGAAAGGAACTGTGACCTCTATAGACATTACCAAACTAATATTCAAGGGTTTTTCACCAGTGTGAGTTCATCCATGTGTTTTAAGTGAATAAGGATAAATGAAAGCTTTATCAAATTGTTTACATTCATACGGTTTTTGAAAAGCATGGATTCCTTGATGTCTTCGAAGGGAACTATGACCCTTAAAAGCTTTACCACACTGTTTACATTCATAGGGTTTTTGAACAGTATGGGTTCTTTCATGTATTTGAAGGAAGTAACGATAAACAAAGGACTTACCACATTGTTTACATTCGTAAGGTTTTTCTCCAGTATGACCTCTTTCATGTAATCGAAAGGAATAGTGATACCTAAAGACTTTGCCACATTGTTTACACTCATAGGGTTTTTTTCCAGTATGAATTACTTCATGTAATTGAAGGGAACTATGAAGTCTAAAGGCTTTACCACATTGGTTACACTGATAGGGTTTTTCTCCAGTATGAATTCTTTCATGTAATCGAAGATAACCACGTTGTCTAAAGGCCTTACCACACTGTTTACATTGATAGGGTTTTTCTCCAGTATGAATTCTTTCATGTACTGGAAGATAGCCATGATGACTAAAGGCCTTACCACATTGTTTACAATGATAAGGTTTTTCTCCAGTATGAGTTCTTTCATGTAATCGAAGATAACCAGGTCGTCTAAAGGCTTTTCCACATTGTTTACATTCATAGGGTTTCTCTCCCGTATGAGTTCTTTTATGTAATCGAAGGGAACTGTGACATCTAAAGGCTTTACCACATTGTTTACATTCATAGGGTTTTTCTCCAGTGTGAGTTCTTTCGTGTAATCGAAGGGAACTATGACATCTAAAGGCCTTACCACATCTTTTACATTCATACGGTTTTTCTCCAGAATGAATTCCTTCATGATTTCTAAGGGAATTGTGACATCTAAAAGTTTTACCACACTGTTTACACCTATAAGGTTTTTCACCACTGTGAGTTCTTTCATGTGTTTGAAGTAAATAAGGATAAATGAAAGATTTACCACATTGTTTACATTCATAGGGCTTTTCCCCAGCATGAGTTACTTTATGCCTGTGAAAAGAACTGTTACGGGTGAAGGACTTACCACACTGTTTACATTCATAGGGTCTTTCTCCAGTATGAAGCCTTTCATGTGTCCGAAGGGAAGTGGAAGAACTCAGAGCTTTACCACATTGATTACACTCATAACGTTTTTCTACAGTGTGAGTTCCTTGATGTGTGCGAAATGAACTACCATAAACAGAGGTCTTTCCACATTCTGTGTATACACAGGAGTTCTCTTCACTGTGAGTCTGTTGATGGATTCCCAATGAGCTGTGAAAAAACAAAGGATTTAAAACATATCCCACATTCACAAGGTTCATTCATAGTTGGGTACTCACATATTTTTCAATACATGTTAAAGTGTTTACAGTACTGCCCACAATGTTCATTTTCACTGCATCTTTCCATAACCTTCACACTCATATAGTATGTATTTAAGGTGAAATAGGATGTGCCTAATAAAGAATGAATGACACATAAAAACCTTTCTATACTCATTGCATTCACATTGTTTTTTTGCTATCCAGGTGAAGGTATCTCAATACTCAACACTTTTATTTTTATTGAATGTCTCTACCTTGTAACTATTATAAAAAGAGAGACAAAGACAGAAAGAGACAGAGAGAAGCACATTAGTAATTGTTGTTTTAACTAAGACTTTGCTTATTAGTATGTTTTGAACACATACTATTCTCAAAATCAGGGAAAATCTATACACTCTGCCATATCTAAATGCTCTGAACAAAATGGATCGATGGATCTATATAGATCTCATGGAGCTATCATCAAAACAGTGACATTCATAAATCCAATATCCTAGGACTGTTTCCAAGTAACTTGTTTTACAAAGATGAACAGCTTTTTTTACACTGCACTACATATTTTTTAGTGAAAAATTTCTAATGGTTAATAAATTTAAAGTGCTTATTTGTTTTGTTTGTCCTTAATTTTCACTGCACATTAAGGTTCCTACAAGGGACATTTTCTGCCATTTGTCCATGCAAATTACCTTAAACTGCTTCTAGGATTTTTATAATGGTCTTCAATGTTCTGGTCTTCCCATCTGATTCCTAAAATGCAGACCCAGAAAATTTATTCTAAACTACAGAAGAATCATTAATTTTTTTATTTCAACATACATTGTAACCATGGCTGATTTACTCAGTAAATACTTTCCTTTCCACATTCTAAAGTTCAGAACACTGATAACCAAGAAGCACTTGTCCCCTAGTTTGATAAGTGAAGGATAACGATATTCCTACCTACAGCAAGGAGGTTCCTGCAGGTTTCCAGCATCACATCTGTATACAGATTCTTCTGGTAAGGATCCAGCATAGCCCATTCTTCATCAGTAAAGTTCACAACCACATCCTCAAAGGCCACCATGTCCTAAAACATCCCATATTTGTATAAAAGAATGGGTAAGACTAACAGAGCTATGAATCTACACAGAGCTGACAAGATGCTCTCATCGTTCTGTGGTCTACACACATTTATTCCAGGACACATCAGTTCCAATACTAGCACTGAGCTACTCCAATAGGGAACAGCATAGTAGGAATACTTCACATATTAGTGCATAGGAGTAAAATGGAGCGCTGGGCCATTCCAATTTTTCTTTTGAGGGGATCCCTACTACCTGTCATAACAAAAACCTACCACTTACAATACAAAAGAGCATTAATATTAGCAATCAATAAGGTTGCTTGTCCTTAGGAATTTCTTCTCACAAATGTTGAGCTTTGCTGGCATCAGACAAGTTAATATTAGAGAAACTTCACAAACAAAAATGGTAAGAATCGTTCACTTGGAATAAATGACTTATGACAATATTACGGCATTTCTGAACTCTAGTGCTTCTCCAAGTTTATGAACCTCTTCTATACTCACAGAGGTACCTAGAGAATCAGCCCCCAAATGCACTCTGGGAAATGAGTTCAGTAAGTTTCTCTAGTAAACACTACTTCACACATTATCACAAAACTTCCTAAAATGGGAAAGTGGGCCAATCAATCCTATGTGATTATAAGAAAGTATTCAGAAGCCTGAAAGTGGTTTACTTCAGGCCAAATTTCATCACAGGTGTATATATACAAGAGTTAGGGGATGGAGAGATGGCTCAGCAGTTAAGAACACTGGTTGTTCTTGCATAAGGCCAGGGTTTGAATCCCAGCACCCACATGGCAGCTAACAACTGTGGATCTGACGGGCTCTTCTGTCCTTCCTGAGCATCACACAACACGGGTGCACTTACCTACATGCAAGCAATACACTCGTACACATAAAATAAATTTAATAATAATAAAAAATAATATACAACAGTTCACCAATACTTAATTATCTTTAAAGAATAAATTTTGACTTTCCATTGAGTAGTTGTTAAAGTAGAATAGAGTAAGTAGAAAGATGAGATTTAAATATTTTGTTTATTGTGTGTTTGAGCAAGTATGTGTGTGGGTGCACATATGCCATGCTGTGCATGCAGAGGTGAGAGGGCAACTTGGGGAAGTTGATTCTCTCCTTCTAGCACATGAGTTCCAGGGATGGAACTAAGGTCATTAGGTTTGCCTCCAAGCACATTTACCAACGAAGCCATCTTGCTGGCCTAAAACATAAAGAAATAACTCAATATAATCATGTATGTTGGCATAGAACTGTGGTCACAGCAGCTTGAGAATCTAAGATGGTTTGATTCCAGGAGTTCAAAGCCAAGTTGTACAATGAAGCAAGACCTCAGTCTTGTAGGGAGGACAGGAGCAAAGTATTATAACATGTCTATCCATCTACCCAGATATAGACTTTCTGAACCAAAAGACTTACATGTGATTAGGTTTTCACCTCTCAAGGATGGTGAGTCTCTCAGCAGTACAAATGTCAGATGGGACCTATAAAATGGTCTAGAAGTTGCAGCCATGGGGCAGGCTATGTTTACAAACTACCTCATCCTTTTCAAACCTCTTGATACAGAAGCTGTCCAACACATTCTGATTCAGTGCTAGATAAGGATTCTTCTTTGGCATTCCTGTCTACCTGGACACTCAGTTTCTATTAGCCTTAGAATGCTAGGATGCCTCTACCTAAGTTACTCAACAGCTTACTTAGACACTTACCTTATGCCTTCCAGGACATCCAAAACCTATTTAGACCTTAGCCACAGACCACTCTTCCCTAAGTTTCCTCCTAGAAGCCTCCTTTTAGTACAGTGACTACTTATTAATCTAGCAAGGCAAGCACACCTCAGATCAGAACTGATTATGGTAGCCCCATATTGATATAAGGTTCATCCTCTGAAGGTCCAAATCTCCACAAAAAGTCTATAGTTCAGTTCTTGGGAATTAAACTAACCTTAGGCACAAGAATTCTAGCAATGTGAAGATCTTATCCTAAAGCTGGGTGTGCTAGCACACACCTATAATTCCAACATTTGGGATATGTACGCAGAAAGTTAAGGAACAACCTATGATATAAAGTTACTTTCAGGTCAGTCTGGGCTACATGAGACTTTAAAAAAGTCTCTAGGGGCTAGTGAAATGGCTCAGTGGATAAAGTCCCTTATCACCAAGCCTGAAGAATGGAGCTCAATCATGGTAGAAAAACACAACTGACTCCCCCAAGTTACCCTCTGACCCCATGGGTCATGGCATGTACACACACACATACATGCACATCTAGAGTAATTTTTTCTGATTTTTAAAAAAATTTATTCTATGTGTATGAGTGTTCTGCCTGCATGTGTGTAAATATACTCATATGTGCCATGCTCATGGAGACCAGAAAGGGGATAGATTCCTTAGAACTGGAGTTATGGACAGTTGTTAGCTGCCATGTGGATGCTAGGGTCTTCTGGAGGAATCTGGGTCTTCTGGAGGAGCAGCCAGTGATCTTAATTGCTGAGTGATCTCTCCAGCCCCCACAGTATTTTTTTAAAGTCTTGTTCTAGGGGCTGAAGGTAAAAATGGTAGCTGTGTAAAAGGGCTTTTATGTAAGCCTGACGACATGAGTTTGATCTCTGGAACCCAGAAAAGGGTGAAAGGAGATGGGAGCCCTATGTCACAGTCCTTTCATACAGTTTCACATACACAGAACAACCTACCATTAGAAAAGAAATACCCAATGTGCTGGACAGCTTTAGTGTCAACTTGACACACCTGGGTTGATGGAGCCTCAGTTGGGGAATTGCCTCTATTGGACTGGCCTGTGGCCATGTCTGAGGGGCATCTTCTTGATGAGTGATGTGGGAGGGCCCAGCCCACTGTGGGTGGTGCCACCCCTGGGCAGGTGGGCCTATGTAGCATAAGAAAGCAGGCTGAGCAGGGGCCAGGGGAGCAAGCCAGTAAGCAGCATTCCTCCAAGGCCTGTGCTCCAGCTCCTGCCTCCAGGTTCCTGCCCCGAGTTCCTACCTTGGTCTCCCTGATGAACTGTGACCCGGGATATGTAAGCTAAATAAACCCTTTCCTCCCCAAGTTGGTAGTGGTCAGAGTATTTTATCACAGCAATGAAGAAAAAACTAGCACACCCAAAAAGAAGGTAAGAGTCCTCAATGAGCTGGCATTTATATAGAAAGTTTATTAATGATTAAGGCAGCACTGCAGAGCAGTAGAAACAGCAAGTGATGTGAAACATGAACCAAGGATATTGGTACATGCCTGTGATCCCAAGGCTGCAGAGACAAAACAGTTCAAGGACTGCCTGGGTTACTTAGCAAGATAATCAAAACAAACAAAATGGGGGCTGGAGAGGCAGCTCAGCAGTTAAGAGTGCTTGCTGCTCTTCCAGAGGACCCGAGTTCAATTCCTAGCACCCATAATGGGCAGCTTACAACCACCTATATAGCTCCAGTTTCAGGGAATCTGACACCCTCTTCTGGCTTCTGTGGGTACCTGCACACACATGCACAGACATATACACACATAAACATAAGTAAAATAATAAATCTTTAAAAAGCAAGCAAAAAAAAAATAGAAATCCCAATAAACCCTACTGAAGTAGGATATTTCGTTTTTTAAAAAAATAATAAATGTTAAATTTAAAAGGCAAAATTGAGACACTTTAAGAATTAGGCCATGAGCATTGGAGTCTGAACTCTAGAGATCCATAGCACCTTATACAAATGGCCAGTCTTAAATGAAATGGCAAAACTCCATTTTTGTTCTAGCTAACTTTCGCTTTACCCTGTGTGTTTGCCCAGCCATTTGCACTGCAGCAAGACAGGCAGATCATCTCATGCAGGTAGTTTCAGGAAGTCCATTGCTTCTACATACTAGGAAACTTACAAGTAGCCAGGAGCATGTCCAGAGAGCAAGTCCTCCCTCCCAGCTATACCTGCATCTCCATGGAGTTGTTTCTACAATTCTGAGAAACTTTTTGTTAACTGAAAAACCTCTTTCTTAACTAACCTGCCCCTGGTCTAGTGTAACTATGGTAATCTGTTTTAACTATGGTTATTGGCTTTGTCCCTGACATGATATAATTGTAGTTTTAAGCTGTATAAACCCTACCTTGCTTCTCCTCGCGGTCAAGAGTTCTTTGGGACATTAGCCTCCTCGCTGACTGTTGGCTATAAATTAATTAGGTTGACTCCTAATTCAACCATCACTATGTAGCATTCCTCTGTGCATCTCGCTCAGTATCACACTAAGAAAACCTAATTTTTTAAAAGTGCTCTGGCAAGTTTTATTGAAGAAAACTTTTCATAGTTTACTTTTTATCAATCTGTACTAGAATGCTTCTGATATTATCAGAATCACCTGGATCAGTGAGATCCAGTATGCGCACTCTGTATCATTTTCCCCATGCTGTGCCCAATTCAGTATTACTGCAGCTGTAGTGATAAACACCAATTTGGGCCAACATAGCATAGTATTCTATTTCAGATTCCCTTAAAGCTAGACCATTGTTGGTGACCAATTTTTGCTTTGTCCTGTCTGATCATCTTGAGTCTGCTTGTACCTCGGCATGTACTTTTCATTTTTCCTAACAAGTTGGAGCCCAGAGCTGATCAACTCCAGATACTCTTTTCCATCTTCCTGCCTTAGGTGCTAGAAAATCCCAAACCATGAGCACCTGCAAGGTTGGCCAGGGAACAAGAAAACAAAAATCCCCCATCTCTAACTGAAAAATTATGCTGCATTCCTTCTTTCCCAAGAAAATAGAAAATTCAAAACAAACATAAAACACCTTTGGAAGCCACAAGGAGATACATTTTGCATGGAATGGGGAGGATTCTTTTTTCCACTATGAGTAAAAGTAAGCCATAAAGTTCCATAAAGGAACTAAGAACTTCAAATATTAAAGTTGGGGGAATTAAGACACCCAAAACAAAATGAAAGAGAAATCTGCAAAACATTCAATATGAAAGAAATTGTGGGTAGAGTTTGAAAATGCTCAGT